GTTTACAGGGGCGGGTGAGGAGGGGTCATATGCACGTCAACCTAATCTGATCGAATTTGATACGATCTGGGTGATGACATGCAAAGTGCACGGGCCATGGCAGAGGACGCGTGATTGGCAGTGCAGTAGTTTGGAGCCACTGCAGGGCTAGCCGAAAAGAAGGCAGGCGGCAACCCGGCGGCACGCGCGAGGTTCCGCTCAGCCCGGGGCAGATATGTGTCCCTTTCTTTCCCTGTTTCTCCCTGCGGCGCCGCGGCCGGGGGCGCTCACCCACGGGCCACCCCGCGCTGAGCTCCCTGAGGGCGCGCAGCGCCGACAGCGCGGACAGCGCGCCACAGCTGCGCAGCGGCGTGCGGCGCGCGGTGCTGCTGCTGTGCGCGCTCTGCCCCAGCCACCCGATCTGCAGAGGGCGTGGATGAATGATGACGGGTTAAAACCACGGTCAAGTGACAGGCGCAAAGGTGGATAGACGGGGGCGACCTCAAACATGGAGACGTTGTGTCCCGACTGAATCGTCGAGCGCGCAGCTTCCCCTCACACCCGCCAGGCGGGCCAAGCGCAAGGCCAACCGGCCTCACACGCCTCCTCCCGTGCAGCGGCAAGGACGTGCCGGGGGGGGGGGGGCATTTGATGGGGCAAGCTGGGATGCAAGTGCAACCAAACGCCTGGGAGCAGCCCACCGTGAGGGACGTGAGGCTGCTTAGCTGCGCCACGGCCGGCAGCAGGTCCGCGTTGCTGGAGGGCATCCAGTCAAACGTGATCTCAAGCTCCAGCAGCTGCAGGCGGCCCTGGCCAGTGCCACCATCCGCAGTGCCGTCGCCTTCTTCACCGTCGGCGCATTCCGCGCCTTGGGAGCCGCCGCCGTCCTCCTCCGCCATCACGGCATCGCCTTCTTGCTGCTGCTGCTGCTGCTGCTGCTGCTGCTGCTGTTGCTGCTGCTGCTGTTGCTGCTGCTGTTGCTGGGCGGGGGGGGCCGGCGCGAGCCCAAACCCGAACACCGCCGGCGGCGCCGCGCCGCGCGCCGCGTCCGGCGCCGGCTCCTCGCCCGCACAGCCCGCGACAGCCGCGACCCGCTGCAGCAGCGGGCGCAGCATGCCGGTGCTGCCGCCCAGCGCCAGGCGCGTGAGCGCCGTCATGTGCGCCACCGCCTCGACGTCGTCGTCGGTCCAAGAGCGCGGCGCGTCTGTGACCTCCAGGCGCCGCAGCCGCGAGAGGCGGCGCAGCGCGGCGAGGCCGCCGGCGCAGAAGCCGTGGGGGGAGCTGCAGCGCAGAGATGTGAGGCCTGGCCCACCGGGGGGGGGGAGCGCGATGCGGGGGGAGGGTTGGAGGGCGTGCCGCGGGTGGGCAGGTGATGAGAGGGCGCACGTCTTGCGCCGTGAGCTCAACCCTGGGCCAGCGCAAAGCTGCTGCTGCTGCCTCGCACCGCCTGCATCTGCCCACCGTGCGGCTTGCAGCCCAAGCGACACTAGGCATTGGGTGCAAGTGGCTTTTAAAAGCAGCTTGGTGACACGATCAGCTGACAACGCTCCCACCTGTCATGTTGCCGATCGCCATGCACTCTGCGTTGCTGATGTAGTGGGTCTGGAAGTCAAACGACTTCAGCTGTCCCGCCAGGCAGCCGTGCACGGTGAAAACAATTGCCGCCAGGTCATCTGTGAGGGGGGGGGGGCGGGATGTGGAGGGGGGGCTGCCGATGGGGGCTGCGTTGACGCACGTCGCGGGCAGCCTCGGATGGCGGGGGTTGGACCGGCCCCCTCGCACGTGCCGTGAACCAGCTTGCTTTGAATAGCCCCGCCGGCTGCTTGCTGCACAGCGCCTCGCCTGCCACTCGTCGCCGAACCAAACCGGAAACAAGCCTGGCATGACAGGCAAAAAAAGCGGTGCCGCATCAAGGGCGCACGCCCCTTGCATGCACGCACCCCCGCCGCCCCGCTCACAGGTGTTGCGCCAGGCGGAGCATGTGGCGCACTTGCGCCGCTCGCTGGGCTCGTCCGGCAGCTTGTCATGCAGCAGCACGCGGCTCAGGCTCGGCAGGCCCTGGCCCATCTGCGGGCGCCAGGGGCGGAAGGGTGCGCCGGGGTGGGCATATGCGGCTGCACTCAGGACGCTTCGACTGGCTCGATAGAGGAAGCGGCAGGCTACAGGGCCCCACAGACGTCGTTCCTGCTGCCCTGCAGTGCAGCACAGCGGTGGTCAGCCGCATGGGCGGGCTGATTGACCCGCGGTTGCGAGGGGGCCGCGCGGCCGCACCGTCATCAGCAGGCTGGGGATGACGTTCATGGCCTCGTGGAGGTTTGAGGGCGTCAGCTGCACCGACCGCGCGCCAGGGAACACCTCGTGCAGGCTGCAGCGCACCGCGGGGCAGCAGCGCCCGCCTGTGCGCGAGGCGGGCGGCGGCGGGGGCGTGGCGCGCGGTCGGCGCCGTGGGCGCACGCGGCTGGAGCAGGCGGTGGCGGCCCTCGCATGGGCAGCGGGGAGAGGTTGGGCGGCGCTGCGGCAGGGGGCTCACCTGGCAGGACCAGCTCCCTCACGCTGTCGTGGGCGATCCTCCGCAGCGCCTTGCATGTAAGGGACAGCGCCGCGCGCTGGCGCGGCCGCAGCCTCGGCACGACATACTCTGATATAAGGCCCGGCGGCAGTTCCAGCAGTGGCAGCGGCGGCGCCGCTGCCGGCTCCATTGCGCTGCTCGGCTGCACCGCCCGTCGTCGGGGTGAGGCGCTGCAGAGCGCGACGGGGCAGCGGGCGGCGGTGCACGCCGTCGCGGCTGAGGGCTTGCAGCTTCGTGCAGAACGCAATGACTGCCACCAACGGCCTTATAGTATGGGCGGGCCGTTGCTGGGACCTGAGTGAGCAGGCCGAAAAGACACACCTGCCCTCGAGCCTCGCACCTCTCCTGCCTCAGCGTGTCCGCTGCATATACGACTGTGTATGCACTATTGCGTGACGAGCCTCAAGCGTACGCGCCCAGTGAACCGTCGTCGCTGTCTCGCTGATCTCGCTGCTACAGTATGGATGGTGAACGCTGTGATTGTAGGAAAACCAAGAATTCTCAAGTCTGGCTGCTACTAGTACGTCACAGGTAGTCGTATCACGCTGTGGGGCTCTGTAGCCACACCGCCGTGAATTGAACTGCGCCTTGCAGCGCTTGTACTGATACTCACGGGACCGCTCGTGAGTACAGTACTGCCCCGCACCGGCTGCAACGCTTTCATCGCCCCATGAGGATCTTGCAGTGCAAATGTCAATCTTGCATGAGGACTCTTAATTGGCCGCCTGCCACGATGCCAGCACTCATAACCCTCTCACTACCCATAACCCGCAGTCACACCACCCAAGCCAACCACACACAAAGAAACCTCGGCCAGCGTGCTGCGTTTATACTGTATCTAATTGCAAATCCCCAAGCGACATGCCCACCCATGGTGTATCGAAGCAAAGGTTGCCAGCACCCGCCACCCGCAGGCGCCAATCACCCAGGATTTTGTACCGGCCGTCCTTGCCACGGACACGACCCCGAAGCCCAAAAAAACCCCGGCTACAGGCATCATAACCAGCATATGTTGATAGCCCACGTCTTTTTGGTGCGCCACAACGCCTTACGCGGCCGTTCTGCTCCACCTGCACGGAGTCTGCACCAGCTCGCCCCCCTCCTTCCCTGCCAGCTGCAGCGAGTTGATCTACCTGGGTGTTGAAGGCAGTAGGTGGCCGACCCCATATCAGCGATGCACCGGCTGTATGGATGATCACATGTTGCAAGAGCTCTGCAATACGGGCGCCAAATTGCTGACTTTGCAGACTCCCATCCACGCGCTGCTAACACTGTGGCGGTCACGAGGTGGTCAACTGGGATGATGTTGCTCGCACCCACTACGCGGTTTTCAGCTTCAGCTGAAGTTGGCCATTGCGGCGCAGAGCAAATAAAAAGTAATTTCTGTCCCTATTTTCAGAGCAATCGCTGTTCCTCTGTCTCTGAGCAGCACGCGCGCCACCCAAAGTCCTCCTATGCACTGATGCAGGCGCCCTCAAGGCGCACCGACGCCAAACTAGTAGAGGTGCGGGTATTCACCGCTAGGTTTTTACCACCAGCGACACCATCGCGACTCGCCACGTCATGCATTTTGGGGCCAGGAAAAGCGAAGTGTGGGTGGTGGGAGGGAGCTAGGAGGCTGATCACAGGCGCTGTGATCAAAGACAACCCGCGGGATCATTGTTCCCAACTGCAGGCCTGCGCACGCCAACCCTCCATACCAGGCCTCAATACAACTCTGTTGGACCGCCTATATAGCTTATTACGCACGACGCAGTGCTATGTTGAGGTCCGCAGCGTCCTAAGGCCGCAAACTTTCAACATCCGACACTGCTGAAGCTGCAGCTTCAGCACTTGAGTTTCAGCAATTAAGCAACGCACACAGCAACCTGCAGTCT